CTTCCTCTCTGGGAGTTCTCTTGCCCTCACTTGCCACCCCTCCTGGATTAAGGCCTCTGCGGGGAGCCCACTGAGAGAGGTCTGCTGTTAAATTGTCAGCCCCACCCACCCGAGGTGCACTGCGGGGAGGGAGATGGTGGGGGTGGGAGGCTCACAACTGGCATGCAGCGTAGTGCGGAGAGAGAGTTTGTTCAAGAACACAGTTGGAGTGTATCAGAGATTTAGGCTAAAGGGCTGAGTAGAGAAACAGCTAATACTTTGGGCATAAAAACATTTAATGCACAGTCTCGGAATTTATAAATGAATGATTGGGTCACATACTAAAATCAGTTTCGAAAGTAAATTAAAACACTTAGGTACTTGTTATGGGTTGAATTGTGCCCCACCTCCCTCAAAAGATATGTCAGAGTTTTAATACCCCCTACCTCCAAATGTGACCTTATTTGGAGATAGACCAAGAGGTAATCAAGTTAAAATGAGGTCATTAGGGTGGGCCCTAATCCAATGTGACCAATATGACTGGTGTCCTTATAAAAAGGGGAAATTTGGCACAGAGGCCACACACAGGGAGAATGCTAGGTGAAGATGAAGGCAGGATCAAGGTGATGCATTTACAAGCTAAGGAATACCAAAGATTGCCAGCAAACTGCCACGAGCTAGGAGAAAGGTGTGGAATAGATTCTCCCTCACAGCCTCCAGAGGGAACCAGCCCTGCTGATGCCTTGATCTTGGATTTCTAGCCTCCAGAGCTGTGTGAGACGATAAATTTCTGTTGATTTAGCAGCCCAGTCTCTGGTACTTTATTAGGGCATCCCTAGAAAACGAATACAGTAGCCTAGATCATTTTTAAAAATCAGACATGATGAAGAGAATCAACAAGGCCCCCAACTGGTTTTCTATGAGTGGTTGTTTCAAACAAGGGTGCCCATGTCAGTTCTCCAGGAACCCTGGCACAGCACAGGCTGCTGACATTGGCTAGAACTGAAATGTTGGCACTTACACACATCACATGACAAAAGAGGAGGTGATCGAGATCAGAACATCAGGGGCCTGCCCCATAGCAGTGCCTGCGACCTTAACTGAAACCAGGATATACCAGAGGATAAGCGGCTCTCAGAAATGTCTCCTACCCCTCCCTGCTCTCTCTTCCTTTGGTGTGCAGGATCTCCTGTGGGACTTCACATGGGTCCTGCTTTGCTTCTCATTTAACAGTAGCCATGGTATTGGTGCTTGCTTCTGTCTGAAGAGCCAGGGAGAGCTCATTCGTGACAATCAGTATTTAGTCTGTTGGTCACTCTGCACTCCGAAACCCTTGCAAACAGCTTTGCACGTCATAGAGTTTCAGTAACTTGATTAATGGTTTGCTTTGTTCATGAGTTTGTGTGTTTTTGTCAGTCACAGGAAGAGCGGATTAAAGATCTTCCTGGGCATGTCTACTTTTGGAGGTCCACTGCACGTCTAATTAAATGTATTCAAATGCATCTCTAGTCTCAAGTGAAATATAATCTTTCTCTGTAAAAACCATTTGAAAGGCTTTTTTTTTTTTCCTTTTGCTTTTGAAGTTATTTGGTGAGGGTAACTCATTTAATTTTTGAGAGTCTCTAACTTCTCAGCAAACATTATGCATATTCTGAAATTCCAGCAAAGGGAGAAAAGCTGATCTACAAATTGTTTCCAAACATCATAAATTTCTTATGAATACGAAGAGCTGTCATTGCTGCATTTTGCAGACATTTGAGATGCAGTATGGCTCAGTGTTCAGAGTGGAAGCTTCGCTGCTTGCATTCAAATCCTGGTTCTCTGGCTTGGTGGTTGTGTGTCTTTGGACAAGTTTCTAAATGTCTCTATGACTCACTCATTG